GTTATTTGTAGGACTATATTAGAATGTCCTTTATCCAACACAATTAAAACAAGATTGGTTAGGTACCACTCGTGTCCATTGAGGAGATTGGCTAAGCGGTTCTCAACCTGTGGGTCGCGACCATCGGAAAACACATATAGCATATCAGATATTTACATTATGATTCATAACAGTAGCAAAATTACAGTTATGAAGTAGCAACGAAAATAATTTTATGGTTGGGGGTCACCACAACATGAGGAACTGTATTAAAGGGTCGCAGCATTAGGAAGGTTGAGGACCACTGGAAATGCTTTATGGCACACCCATATAACACTATGCAGCCATTCCAAGACTGACATGCCCATGAAATATTGAATTTTTAAAAAAAAGTTTGCAAAACTACATGTGTACAACATGGCCCATTGATAAAAAAAAAATGATGCTTACTTGGATCTGTATGAGTATTTATAAAAAGACTTGCCTGAAAGAATAGGACCCCAAGTTTTCCTACTGTTTACTTCTGGGCGGTGAGATTTCAGGTTTCTTTGCTTTATTTTCATTTTTCTGCTTATTCTACAAGAGCATATATAATCAAATCAAAACAGCACAAGAATTTTGACTTTGGGGCATTTTTCACACCTTTCTAGAGCCCCATCTTTTTTCAAAGTATATTTCTATTTATTTCAGAGAGGAAGGGATACACACGGGGGGGGGGGGGAGAGAGAGAGAGAGAGAGAGAGAGAGAGAGAGAGAGAGAGAGAGAGAAATATCAATGATGAGAGAGAATCACTGATCAGCTGCCTTCTGTATGCCTACACTGGGGATGGAGCCTGCAACCTGGGCATGTGCTCTGACTGGGAATGAAACTGTGACCTCCTGATTCATAGGTCGACACTCAACCACTGAGCCACACCTGGTTGGGTTAGAGCCTCATCTTACAGGTAAAGATCAGATCATACTTGCTTTACCCCCTGAGGGGTCTCAAGACTGTATGGGACTTGGGTGACAGGCTTATCCCCAATTCTGTCATTCATTTCCTTTGGACTCCATTGGCCTCAGTTTTCTCTTCTAGAAAATGACAATGGTATTTACTTCAACACCTTGAAAGGACTTTTATTTTCTTGAGATTATTAGAATAATACATGCTCACTGATCAAAACTTGAAAAATGCAGAAAAGTATATGGAAAAAAAACATTACCCATGATCACACCAGCCAAAGATAATCATCATTAACATTTTGGTGTATTTCCTTCTACTCTTTTTTCTAGTCATAATGGGGTCAGGGCTTGGAGGCCGGCGTGAGTGTGTGCTGTGTCCATGGTGAGACCCTGTGCAACCTAGACTCAGTACTGCCACTGGCCAGCTGGGCGGGCTGGGAGGCACTCCACCCTCTCAGCCATTTCCTTATCAGAACCCTGGGAATTATAGCCCTACTGCCTTTCTCATAAAGTATTAATTGAGATGAGGACTATAAAGTTTGGCCCTGCCCCTTGTGGGGGGAAAGCATTACTGTTATATATATATATATATATATATATATATATATATATATATATATATATATAAACTATTGCATAAGCCCTTCCCCGAGCACCTTATCAGTTTCTTCCATTTCAGAGGATGATATTTCACAGTCCTTCTTGGCTGTGGCTTCACACTAGCATTTTCTGGGGAGCTTATAAAATGCCAATGCCTGGGTTCCACTCAGGATATTGAAATAAGAATCAGGGGGGTGGGGCCCTGGTACTGGTATTTCTGGAAAGTTCACCAGAGGATCCTATTGTGATCCAGGGCTGATAACTACAGGTGAGTGTTAAAATGCTTCAGAAAGGCCAGAACTCCAGGCAAACTCAGAAGGGAGAAGATAGCAGCTGAATGGGCAGAACTTTCTTGCACTTTCCTAGCCTGGTGAAGAAAAATGTCACTCAAGTCCAGGAAACACAGAGAGTCCCAATCAAGATGAACTCGACACAACCCATACCAAGACACATTATAATTAAAATGACAAATGTTAAAGACAAAGAAAGAATCTTAAAGGCTGCAAGAGAGAGACAGAAAATGACCTAAAAGGGACCTCCCATTAGAAGGTCATCTGGTTTCTCAATAGAAACACTTCAGACCAGAAGAGAGTGACATGAAATGTACAAAGTAATGAAAAGCAAGGAACTGAATCCAAGACTACTCTATCCAGCAAGGCTATCATTCAAAATTGAAGGTGAAATAAAGAGCTTCACAGACAAAAAAAAGGCTAAGGAGTTTATTACCACTAAACCAACACTGCAAGAAATGGTAAAAGGACTGCTGTAAGAAGAGAGAGAGAGAGAGAGAGAGAGAGAGAGAGAGAGAGAGAGAGAGAGGAACACAAGCATAATGAATAAAAATGGCAACAAATAGGTACCTGTCAATAATAACCTTAAATGTAAATGGATTAAATGCTCTAATCAAAAGACATAGGGTAGCTGAATGGATAAGAAAACATGACCCATATACGTATATGTTGTGTACAAGGGACACATCTCAGAACAAAAGACTTGTACACTATGAAAGTGAAGATATGGAAAAATAATTTCTATGTAAATGGAAATGAAAAGATAGTTGCAGTAGTAATACTAATATCTGACAAAATAGATTTCAAAATGAAGGCCATGACAAGAGACAATGAAGACCACTTCATAATACTAAAGGAATCAATACAACATGGAGATATAATCCTGATAAGCATATATTCATCCAATATAGGAGCACCCAAGTATATAAAAACATTTCTAGAGGACTTTAAGGGAGATACAGACAGCGATACAGTCATACTAGGGGACTTTAATACCATATACATAACTGGATAGGTCTTCTAAAATATATATTAACAAAGAAATAGTGACCCTAAATGACACACTAGATCAAATGGATTTAATTGGCATTTACAGAACATTTTACCCCAAGGCTGCAGAATATACATTCTTCTCAAGTGCACATGGAACATTCTCAAAGATAGACCATGTGTTAGGACATAAAATAAGTTTCTATAAGTTCAAGAATATTGAAATCATATGAAGTACTTCTTGAATCACAATAGCATGAAATTAGAAATCAACTACGATAAAAGCACACCAAAAACATTCAAACACATGGAGGGTAAATAGCATGTTCTTAAACATGAATGGGTTACCAAGAGATAAAAGAAGAGAAAAATTCCTGGAAACAAGAAAAAGGAACACACAACAACCCAAATCTGTGAGACACAGCAAAAACAGTCTTGAGAGCACTACACAGGCCTACCTCAAGAGACAAGAAGTTTTTCTCATAAGCGATCTAATCCTGCAACTTAAAGAATTAGAAAGAGAACAAGAAAAGCCCAGAGTAAGTAGAAGCAAGGAAATAATAAAGATCAGAGCATAAATAAATTACCTACAGACTAAAAAACACTATAAAATATCAACGAACCCAAGAGCTGGTTTTTTTAAAAGATAAACAAGATTGATGAACCTTTAGCCAGACTCATCATGAAACACAGAGAGAGGACCCAAATAAATAAAATCAGAAACAAAAGCAGTGAAGTGACTGACACTACATAAATACAAAGGATTGTAAGAAAATTACTATCAACAACCATATGCCAACAAGCTGGAAAACCTGGACAAAATGGGAAAATTCTTGGAAATATACAATCTTCCAAAACTGAATGAGGAAGAAACAGAAAACCTGAATAGGCTGATAATAACTGATGAAATTGAAGCAGTAATAAAAAAAAAAAGGTACCAGAAAACAAAAGCCCTGGTCCAGACAGCCTCACAGGGAAGTTTTACCAAATATTCAAGAATAACTAACACCTACCCTCCTTTAGCTATTCCAAAAAATCCAAGATGAAGAAATACATCCAACCTCGTTTTATGAGGCCAGCATTAGCCTAATTCCAAAACCAGAAAAAGACACTACAAAGAAAGAGTATTATAGGCCAATATCCCTAATGAACATAGATGCTAAAATCCTCAACAAAATAGCAAATCTGATCCAGCAATATACTAAAAAGATCATACACCATGACCAAGTGGGATTTATTCCAGAGATGCAAGGCTGGTACAATATTCCAAAATCAATAACAATATAATACAGTTAACATAATACTCAATGGGTAAAAACTAAAACCATTTCCCCTAAGAACAGGAACAAGACAGGCTGTCTGCTTTCACCACTCTTATTCCACATAGTACTGAAAGTCCTAGACACAGTGATCAGTCAAGAAAAAAACATAAAAGGCCTCCAAATTGGAAAGGAAGAAGTAAAACTATCATTATTCACAGATGATATGATATTGTACATAGAAAACACTAAAGGCCACCAAAAAAACCTACTAGATTTAATAAATAAATGTGTCAGTGTAGCAGGAACAATATTAACACCCAGAAATTGATGGCATTTTTATACACCAATAATGAATTCTCAGAAAGAGAAACTAAACAAACAATCCCATTTACCATTGCAACAAAAAAATTAAGATACTTAGGAACAGACTTATCAAGAGGTAAGACTTGTACTCAGAAAACCACAGGACATTGAAAAAAGAGATAGGGGAAGACATAAACAAGTGGAAGAATATAGCATATTCATGGATTGGTAGAATTAACATCATTAAAATGTCCGTACTAACCAAAGCAATCTATAGATTCAATGCAATCCCTATTAAATTACCAACAGCATATACAGCATATTTCACAGATCTAGAACAAATACTCCAAAAATTTATATGGAACAACAACAAAAAAAGACCCCAAATAGACACAGAAATCTTGAGAAAGAAGAAAAAAGTTGGAGGGATCACAATACCAAATATCTAGTTATACTACAAAACTGCTGTAATCAAAACAGCCTGGTACTGGCATAAGAATAGGCATAGAGATCAATGGAACAGAAGAGAGCACCCAGAAATCATCCCAAGCTATTATAGTCAATTAATATTTGACAAAGGCAGCAAGAGGATACAATGAAGTCATGACAATCTCTTCACTAAATGGTGTTGGGAGTGTTGTATGAAAGGAATGAAGGTTAGCACTCACCTTGACAAGGATGGAAGAGGTTCTCAGGCCTAACAACATGCATACGGTCAAGGCATTGCCACCTACTTCGTGGCATCTAACCACTGTTTTTTTGCAACAGCATGGATGAAACTGGAGAGCATTATGCTAAGTGAAATAAGCCAGTCAGAGAAAGATAAATATCACATGATCTCACTCATTTGTGGAATATAATGAACAACATAAACTGATGAACAAAAATAGAACCAGTCATAAAAGCATCAAATAGACTGTCCAACCTATGAGGGAAGGCGGGGGGTGAAGGAGTAAGAGATCAACCAGAATATATTAGGGAGATCCATGATGGCAGCCAGCTGAATGGCAGTCAGCAAGATAGTGTGAGTAAGTGAGAGAGCGAAAGGAGAGTGCATGGACGTGCGGGGAGTGTGTGTATTTGTGAGTGAGGGATAGTTATATTCCACAGGACTGGCGGGGACTGGTGGATCAGGCTCCCCTGGCTGGGCAGCCTCTACTACTGCTGAAATCTCTCCTGGGGTGTCCAGCTCTGCCACAGAGACTGTGCCATCTTGAAGGGGAGAGTGGCTGTGATCGGAAGCCCAGTCTTACCTTCATCCGGGGAGACCTCAGATACCTCCCGTGACTCTACAACCACAATACCAGGGACCAGCTACCTCAGCTGTGAACCCACCAACACCGAGACTCCAGCCTTCCTGGCCACAGGCACCTAAAAAGCTTGTCCAGGGAAAGATAAGGTGGCAGCCGAATATGCGGACAGTTCCTGCGCCTTCTCACAGAGAAGATAGAAGGAACAGCTGAATCAAATAACACCCACCTGGAATTAGTGAATGAAACACAGCTGGTAAGGCAATCTGTGGACAGAAAAGTCAGAGATTGTCTGGAGAGAGGTGGGATCTGGAATCCGGGCTAGAGGGAGAAACGCACACAGGCAGGACTAGAATCTCAGAGGGAGACTGTGCTGCACCAAATCCGCAGCCCTTGTGGTCAGTGTAGCCCTCTGATGTGGAAGGAGGTCCACAGAGCTGCTGGCAGAGGGGACTCTAGACCTAAGCCCACAGCCATGGGAGACTGTGCCCAGGAAGGCAGCCTGAAGTTCTATACTGGCCACGCAGTGTTGGGTGGAGAAAGATGTGAGGTGGCATGGTTGCTTTGTCTTTATAACTTCCTTGCTTTTGCTTGCTAAACCTAGTGCATAGGATCTTTCCATTAAAAACACTCACTGAGACTGCAGGGGAAGGTGGTTTTTGTGGAAATTGGGGAGCAGAATAGGGAGAGACGAGCAGGAAACCAACTCTGGGACAGTCTGTTCCTCCAACCCAGTCTTGAGTGAGGCAGGGGAAGGAAGAGTCTAAACACCCCCAGGGAACCCTGGGGGACTGGGTCAAGGGGCCATTTGGTCCCAGAAATGAATACAGAAACACTGTCACCCAGGAGCTGTGTCAGAAATAGATGCTTGTGTAAATACAACTGAAGGCAAGCAGAGAAACAAAGTGAGCAGAGTGATCCTGCCTGCCTGAAACCAAGGTTGTGGCTTATGACACAGAGGAGCTGTGGATCACTGGGAACTTCAACACTGTGCTAACTACCTGACAGGAAACAGATGTGCCAGAAGAACAGTAGAGAGGGGTCTTAAACCAGCCCCCATGGGTCATTGAAGCTCCACTGAAGTGAATGAACTTCACTACTTCACTTTTTCATTTTTTGTCTTTTACTTAAGAAACTAATTTTTTTCTCACTTTATTTCACTTTTTTATTATTATGTTTTTATTTATTATTATTATTACTATTAATTTACCATTTTTTAAAGTTTTATTTTATTTTATTTTGTACTAGAGACCTAAGCGACTGTTACGGTGGAATGACCAGAATGACCGGTCCCTATGATGCACACTGACCACCAGGGGGCAGATGCTCAATGCAGGAGCTGCCCCCTGGTGGTCAGTGCACTCTCACAAGCAGAGCACGGCTCAGCCATAAGCCGGGCTCACAGCTGGTGAGCACAGCGGTGGTGGCAGGAGCCTCTCCTGCCTCTACAGCAGCACTATGGAGCAGTGAGCCAAGCAGTAAGGAGTAGCGAGCAGGTGGGCGGTAAAAAGTAAGGGGTTCTGAACTGTGAGAGGGATCTAACTTCCAGGGGAGCAGGCCTAAGCCAACAGGCAGACATCCCCTGAGGGGCCTGGACTGCAAGAGGGTGCAGGCCAGGCTGAGGAACCACCACTGCCCTGCCCCCCACAGTGTACGAATTTTGTGCACTGGGCCTCTAGTAGCAATATGTTTGCAGATACATCTCCTAAGACAATGGAAATTAAGGAGAAAATAAACAAATGGGACTACATCAAAATAAAAAGCTCTGCACATCAAAAGAAATCATCAACAAAATGAAATGGGATCACACTCTATGGGAGAACATATTTGGCAATGATACATCTGATAAAGGGTTAATATCCAAACTATATAAGGAACTCATACAACTTAACAAAAGGAAGACAAACAATCCAATTAAAAAATGAGCAAATGACCTAAATAGGCACTTCTCTGAAGTGGGAATACAAATAGCAAAGAGACATATAGAAAAATGCTCAAAGTCACTGATCATCAGAGAGATACAAACTAAAATGACAATGGAGTACCACCTCAGACCTGTCAGAATGGCTATTATCAATAAATCAATAAGCATCAAGTGCTGGTGAGGATGTGGAGCAAAGGGAACCCTAGTGCACTGCTGGTGGGAATGCAGACTGGTATAACCACTATTAAACACAGTGTGGAGTTTCCTCACAAAATTAAAAATGGAACTACCATTTATCCCAGTGATCCCACTTCTAGCAATATCTCCTAAGAAGCCTGAGAAACCAATCAGAAAGAAAATATGCACCCCTATGTTTGTAGCAGCATTATTTACTGTAGCTAAGATATGGAAACAGCCCAAGTGCCCATCAGCAGATGAGTGGATAAAAACAACAACAACTGTGGTACATTTACACCATGGAATACTATGCAGCTGTAAGAAAGAAGGATCTCTTACCCTTTGAGACAACATGGAGGGATCTGGAGAACATTGTGCTAAGTGAAATAAGCCTGTCAGAGAAAGATAAATAACACATGATCTCACTCATATGTGGAACCTAATGCACAAAATAAACTGACAAGCAAAATAGATCCAGAGACATAGAAGCATGGAATAGACAGGATTCTCAGAGGGATGGGGATGGGGGCAGGAAGAGATCAACCAAAGAACTTATATGCATAGTCCATGGACACAGACAATAGTGTGGTAAAGGCCTGGGGAGGGGTAAGAGTGGGGAGGAGGGGATCAATGAGCAAAAAGGGGGACATCTGTAATACTTTCAACAATAAAGATAAATTAAGAAAAACAAAAAAAGAAAGGCTAGAGCTCCATGAGTGGGAGGGTTATTATTATTAACTAGAGGCCCTGTGCACAGATTTGTGCACCATTGGGGTCCCTCAGCCTGGCCTGTGGGGATCGGCTGAAACCGCATTACTACATACCTGATGGATGTAGTAATATGTGAAGTGGCAGGTGGCCAGGGAGGAGCCTGAGCCCTGGCCGACGCCATGCCACTCCCGCTCATCCCGGTCCTGCTGCACCTGCCACTGCCACCACTCAGTAGGCTCGCTGCCACTCCACTGCAGTCTCCGCGTGCCCATCCTAGGGCGATACCAGCATGCCCATGACTGAGAAGCGGCCACAGGCTCGCACCCAGTCAGTCCCAATGCAGGCCCCAATCCCGGTCCTAGTCCAGATGGGGAGGAACGCACAGGGGTTGTGTCACGTGAGAGGCTCGCGCTGCCGCAGCTGTGCTCGCCAGCCATCTGGCACTTGTTGGTCAGCTGAGCGGGTGCTCCCACTGTGGGCACGCACTGACCACCAGAGGGTAGTTCCTGTGTTGAGCGTCTGCCCCCTCGTGGTCAGTGCGCATCATAGCTACCTGTTGAATGGTCGCTTAGGCTTTTATATATGTAGATTAAAGAGGTTTCTCAGGGAGTGGAAATGGGTTCCTTGACTCCTTCTCCCTCTCATCTGATCTTTCTAGTGAGGCACATTCACAACATCATAATCTCTCGCTTGGAGTGGGGCTTCAGGGCTCACACAGCATTTTCCTGTGACTCTGGAGCTGGGGTTGCTGGGTTGTAATAAGTGTTGACTCTATGCCAGATATTGTGCTGACTTGAGCGCTTACCTGCAGGACAAGAGAACAGGCTCTCTCTAACACCACACCAGCCTCTGTGGAGGGCAATTTGGCAATAGTCATCCAAATTAAAAATGTGCTTGGGGGGACAAGAAGAGATAAACCAAAGAACTTATATACTTACTAGATGCCCAGTGCAAAAATTCTTGCACTGGGGGGTGGGGTCCCTCAGCTCAGCCTGCGCCCTTTCACAGTCTGGGGCCCCTCAGGGGAGGTCCGTCTGCTGGCTTAGGCCCGATCTCACCCCCACACACACACACACACCACCACCACCCGCTGAGGATCGGGCCTAAGCTGGCAGTCAGACATCCCTCTCACAGTCCGGGGCTCTCGCAGTCTGGGACCCCTTGCTCCTTACTGCCCGTCTGCAGTGGAGGCAGGATAGAATCCAGCCACCACTGCTGCACTAGCCAGCCATGAGCCCAGCTTCTGGCTGAGTGGTGCTCCCCCTGTGGGAGTGCACTGACCACCAGAGGGCAGCTCCTGCATTGAGTGACTGCCCCTGGTGGTCAGTGCACATCATAGCGACCAGTTGTTCCGCAGGTCATTCCGCCATTTGGTCAATTTACATATTAGGGTTTTATTGTATAGGATATGCATAGCCCATGGACACAGGAAATAGGGTGGTGAAGACCTGGGGGTGGTGGTAGTGGCTAGGAGGGAATGAAAGATATCTATGATATTATCAACAATAAAACTATATTTAAAAAGAAACAAAAAACATAAATTAAAAATGTGCTCATGGCCAATGTGTTCAGTGGTTAGTGTTGGCCCTCACCCTGAAGGGGTTCAATTTGCAGTCAAGGTCCAATTCCCAGCCCTGGCCGGGGCATGTGTGGGAGGCAACCAGTCAATGTGTCTCTCTCACATCCATATTTGTCCCT